AGAGAGAGAGAGAGAGAGAGAGAGAGAGAGAGAGAGAGAGAGAGAGAGAGAGAGAGAGAGAGAGAGAAAAAACCTTACCAAGCAACGACAACAGGCTGAGCAACGACGACAGGCTGAGCAACGACGACAGGCTGAGCAACGACGACAGGCTGAGCGACGACCAAAAGGTAAGGTTCTACTTCGTTTTTTTTTGTTTTTCTTTGCCTTTTTGAGTTTTTTTTTCTTTTTTTCTTGGTTCCCCTCCGTTTTTTTTGGGGGGGGGGTTTTGGGAGTTGCGTCCGTTTGTTTTTGAACGGGCAACAACTATCTGAAGAGTGCCTAAACTTGACTTTCAGTTATGCCAGGTTCAAGCGCTCAGTAGGAAGGAAGAAAAAGTAACGGCCACATACGTGGCCGCAACCATGGATTAGGTGCAGGGGTAGAAGGTTCTAGGTGGTGATAAGATTGTGCCCGTTTGTTTTTGGACAGGCTACAGTCTGGCTGGATACAACCATTTCCTGGAGCATGTGGCCTGCGGGTAAGGCCAGGTGCTTCCGGGAATGGATGACCTTGCTTTCCCTAGGGGAAAACCAAGGCATCTAGCTCCTCGCCATTGATTTAGATTGATTGTCAGGAGCACCCACAAATTTTTGCTTGGCAACGGGCAAAGCAGCTGCCCACATGCCTTCGGCTAGCTATAAAAGTCAACTTCCCACCCAGCAGCCTCACACTTATGGCAGTGCTGCTGGGCCATTCACTTGAGTGAATGCTGGCTGGCTGCTAATGTGGGGCGGTGCTGCCAGTGGAGGTGCTGTGGAGGTCTGCAGAGAGTTGGGGGAGGAGAAGGGAGGCAGCCATAGTCGATGCTGAGGGCATTCTGCCTCAGTGTTAGGCTGGTGTTGCGCCTGTGGGATCACCCCTGTGATCACTTCGTGGAACCAAGGCTCTATCCTAGGCTGGTTGCGGCAGTGAGGCAGGCTGAACTTCCCTTTGAGTAGGGTTATGCCGCCGAAGTATGGATGCATCGACGCTATGTTTTTTATGTAAGTGTGGGGAAGTGTTGCCCGTTCAGCGGCACGACGACGATAGTATTTTCAGTGGGGTTAGGCTGCCAAAATTTTGACTCGGCAGAATTATTTTTTTTTAAGAGGGGAGGTGCTACTCGATCAGTGGCACAGCAACGACAGTGTATCCGGTGGGATCATGCTGCCGGAATTTGCGGTAGCGTCAACTTTATTTTATTTTCTTATATTGTCCAGCTGGTGGCACGTCGGCGGCACTATTGTGAGGGAAAATGTTGCGGGTCTTTTGCATCACAGTGGAGGCGGTTTTCTTGTGTGTGATTAGGGTGCTGCGGGGCAGCCATGGTACTGGCTTTCACGATGCAGCAAATGTGGCACGCCGTTATTTTTTTTGTGGTACTCGGTAGTTGTGGTGGATCCGAGTATGGCCTAGAGGTTGAGCTGGCGTTGGTGCACAACTGGTCTGTGCGGCAGCGGTGCATGAAGAGGGCACGGAGTGAGTGCTCGCGGCAGTGGCTATTGGAGTTGCGGCACTTGCGGTCTGTGCCTGTTGAACATCTTTATTTTTTTGGGGCTCACGGCACATGCGGTTTTCAACAATGGGCACCTTTATTTTTTTTGCGGCGCGCAGTGCAAGCGGTTTTGAGTTCTGAACCACTTGGTATGGCAGGCGATGGTGTGGAAGTGCATTGAAACCATCGGAGACCATTTTGGGACTAGGTGGGACTGGTTGTTGTGATCGGGACCAGAATGTTGGTGTGGCTATTGCGAGTGTATATGGTGATTGGAGGTGTCGTGGACTTGCGGTTAATCGGGACTGACCTTAGAGGATGCGGTGCTGTTTAAACTGCAATCGGGGGTGCGTTGAGATTGTCCGGGACGTTGAGAAGACGGGGGACTTATTCTTTGGAGCACCCTTGTGGAGGGTTATCCCACTTGAGTTCTCTCAATGGACCCGACTCTTGCTCACTTGGGCACTTGGTGGAGGATGCAGACCGTGGCTGAGGAGAGAGGCCACAACTTGTGGAGTTGTGGGCCGCGTATTATCAGCTTTAACGGCGGTTATCCTGTACTTTGATTGAGACATACTCGACTTTCTTGAGTGAGTCGGATCAGACTTCACTCAAGGTCAATCAGTTGATTGACTCAGGCTTTTCTTCACACTTGTGTGAACCCACACTTGCTTGACCCTGTTCATTGAATGTTCATTGAAAAGGCAAAGGAAAAGTGTGTTTGCATATGAATGGAAAAGTCTGACTTGAGTATGGGATTGTACTGTTTTCTTTTTGCGTCGTGATGACTCTCTCCTTTTTCGCCACGTGTCCGTCTCTCCACGCTCGCGCAAGCGCCGTGACAACTCTCTCCTTTTTCGCCACGTGTCCGTCTCTCTACGCTCCTGCTGTTTCCGCCGTTTTTTCGCTATTTTCGCCCCACAACACCCTGCAAATCCCGGTATCGGGATTGCACCGATTTCCCGCTGCTGCAGGGGGGGCAGGGCGGGTGGGTTGGAGCGGGGACCGTTCCCGCTTTGATACCAGTGTGCCGGACCCGCCGGGATGCCGGTCCGACAGGATGGAGAAGAAGGGGTTCAAGGAGGAGGAAGTGGAGATGGAGCTGGAAGGGACAGCGCAGCTCCGACGCAGACTCAACACCGCACGTACTCCAACAAGTGCAAAAATGAAGAATAATGAGATACAGACTGCAGCTGGGGTATACCCCCAGCGGACTGACTGGACTGGACTGGACTGGCCTGGTACCAACAGTGGTACCGGGCAGGACTGGATTGGACAGAAACAGTACACGGCCCGTGGGGTCAGGTCACGGCCTGGTCCCACAGGCCAAACTGGTAAATAGCTGAATAGGCCCTGGCTGTAGGCCAGGGGCCTCGACCCACTAGCATCGCGTAAAACGGTGTGTGGCGGCCGTTTCTTTTAAAAAAAACATATAAAGAATCCTTTTTCCGATTTTCAGAAATGCAAAGAAAACAAGGCCAACGCTATGCATCCACACTTCCACCAACCCGGTACATCTGCATGCGACCTTCCCGCCGGCCTGTTCGCAGTCTTCCACGAAAATCTCAATATTCTCAATTTCTGCGAAAAACAATAGCAAGGCGCGAAGTTTCAAAAACATCCCCCCCTTAAAAAAAACGTAGTATTGAAGCTTCGTGCCAATGCAAAGTGGCCAACTGAATGGCCAACAAATGATTAAGAAAAAAATTCTACTGGCCGACAGGAAGCTGCATCCACGAAAACAAAGACAATCCACACTAGCAGTGGATACACGAAATGATCAACGACTCACGCATGTCACAGACGGCCGCACGTGGTCGAAAACGGCGGAGCACAAGAGTAAATCGGACGTAGTGGGACGAGTCCCCAGGGCAGATGGAGGCCCGCTGCAGTCGATGATGGTATTATACTATTATGTATAGTATCTTCTAGAGTCCACCGCCATATGCTTGGCCGGGTTGTGGTAATGGGGGTGTTCTGGAGGTCAGGGAAGGCAGTCATCGTTGTTTGGATGGATTTTCTGCTGATTCTTTGGCGCCATGCCAGTGCAAATGCTGACTGTGGAAGGCCTACATGTTATGAGATCCTTGTTCTTATGGCCTGAGAAATCTGGCCCCTGAAGTTTTCACTGCCTGCGGAATCTGGACTGGACATTGGAAGTGGCTGTTGGCTTTCTGGATCCAGCCATGAAGAACAGTCTGCTGATCAAGTTTAGCAATGCGCACCAAAATGCCACAGAGAACCATGCAATCACCTCCATACTCAGCTCAGTCCACCTCCCCACCTTTATGTGCAAAGCATAGTGCAATTATAGCCCCCCATCGCCTTTGCAATGGATTATAACGCATGATATGAAACTATACCATGCAATCCCTTCCATATGTAGCTCCAACTACACCCCCCAACTTCGCAAGCAAAGCATAATGTGATCCTCTTGACACTCTGCAAAACCCTTCAAGACTCCTCCAACCAGTCCCACATCCCAAGCAAAGCAACTTGTGAAGCCCCTCTGCACTTTCCCTTCCCGGATTGGCATCCAAAGCATTGGGCGGGTAAGGGTATACAGGTCTGGCAAAGGTTGGAAGGATGTTTGGTAAGGGTAGGCAGTCCTTGTGAGGGTGGAATATGGTCATTAAGCATAGGCAGGATAGGTTAGGAGTTTTTGGTCTGGTTCTCACATTGAAAATAGCCAGCACTGTAACAGGGTCGGTTGCAGAAATCAACGAGCCAAATACGAGGCATTCCAGAAACGGCAATGACACAACTCCACCACTGGCCTGTCCAGCTCCATAACTGCAGAACACATTGTGCTCAATCACCAGAAATAAAATGGAACCCCATTAACCGCGAAAAGAAAACCACAACACCCTGTCCAGCTTCCATCAACCACACAACCCATGACCTCATGGCATGCACTTCATGTACACACAACAAATACAGACATGTGGAATGACCAGCTCAAGTTCCTCTCTGACAGCTCTGTGCTTTTCTGAAAAATCTTTGCCTTGTGATCTGGTTCAGCTGATACTTCTATGCCAAAATGTTTTTGGCTAGTCCATGCATGAATGTATGTGTTTCTGCTAAATCTAGTCAGTTGCATTTGTCAGATTACTAACACTGTTCCCGTGTTGTTATGCTGTCACTGCTGTTCCTTGGGAGGGGCAGAGCTGTAAATAGTTGTCTACAAAGGGATAGGACAGAGATTAGATAGCTGCTGGACTTAGAGGGAAATTAGGATGGACAGGGAGGTGCAGGTAAAATCGTAGTGCAATGGATCGAGCCCTCGGCAGCACATTAGGGCCCCACTGCTCCTAGGTGAAGGCGGGTCTGCATTCTGCAAGGGGCCTACTTTTCCTGTCGTTTTCCAGGCCTTGGGCGCCAGTTGGTTACAGGCCCCCCCGCATGCTGTGAGACCACGACATTGTGAGCCTTCCAGGCTCTTCCAGGCAGCGAAGTGGAGACTGGCCTTTCAGCCCATCAGGATGCGGCGAACAATGTGGCTCGCACAGTTGGGCATGCCTAACTGTTCTGGTCCCAGGCCTCTTTCTGAATCGGGCCTGGGGCAGACACTTTGCCCCGACGTCAAGCTACTGGGAACTAGGACGCCAGGCCCAGTCAGCCTACTGAGGGCAGCACTTTCCATATAGGAAAGTGCCCGCCCCGAAGCCAGACATTCTGGAAAGCAGCCACTGGGCGACAGCGCTACCTCATTGTGCACTGAAGGTTGCCAGGGCGCTGTAAGCTGGGAAGCGCACATAGGCGCTGGGAGGAGACACTGCCAGGGAGCAGCACGCAGGTCAGCCATACCCAGGCTAAACCCGCTGTTCTGGCTGTTGGCGATGGTGGTCTTCGGGGTATGGGAGATGCCCGCTGTGGGGGACAAGGAGAAGGAGAGAGGGGCAGAAGAGACACGTACCTGATGTGTATGCGGCAGTCTGCATGTGCAACTTTGTCATGTACATTGGTCTTTGGCTGGAAGTGATCGCTGGTCGCATCGTCCTTGAAGCTCTTGCTGCGCATAGAGAGGGTGTCAGGCAGTAGAGCAGGCATGGTTTGCTGCATCGTCCTTTACGCTCTTGCTGCGCATAGAGGGGATGTCAGGCAGGCCAGCCCTATCGGGGACCGATGAGTACTGGACCGTCGTTGCACACCAGTAGACACCTGATGGATGAGTACTGGACCGTCGTTGCACACCAGTAGACACCTGATGGATGAGTACTGGACCGTCGTTGTGGAAAACAATCAAGAGGGATATAGGGGGAGGGGGATTCTAATTGATGCTCGTTTATTATTTCTATTCTGCATACATCTGTGCAAGTGATTTTATTTTTATTCTGATTAGTTTAGATGCGTACATACTGCTAACACCGGGCAGAACGCAATAGTGTAGCACTGAAGCAGTCCACTTATACCAGTTCTATGCATTGCTGACTGTTCCAGAACTAGTCAAAGTAGAGGTAGTATCATTTGCAGAGTCTGTGTATGTTCTATTCACACCTCCTAAGCGGTCATGCAAGGAACATGAATATGGACAAAGCACAGAAATCCAGATTGCAAAATCACACTGAAGTCCAAGTAGTCAAAGCAAGAGCAGATAGCACAATGGGACCGAGTAACCATCCATTTGAGAACGATACAGAAGAATCGTGAGTCAATGTCCAAGCCCAACAAGGCAACACCAACAGCATAACCCAATGTAGCTCTCTCTCTTGAATGGCGCCAGGCGCCCTACCTACTCTACAGCCTAACACTACAACTACAGTATGAAAGCAACCAGACAACTTGACGACCAGCAAGTGATGATGTCAACACCAATGCCGACCTCCCACCTCCACCAGGTACGTCTCTCTCTTCACCCACACTCTCCCTTGTTATCCCACACAGCGCCCTTCACCTCCGAAGAACCACCTTCACCCTCACCTCCCTCTGTGCCCTCAGGCAGCCCGGCTATGGCCGCCAGCGCCCTGCGTACAGGCAGCGCCCTACCGCCTAGCGCCTGCCTGTCTCGCACCTCAGCCTAGCGCAGCAGCTCGCATTAGCGCAGCGTGCCGGCATTGCCCGCAATGGCCAAGATCCTTGCCCACTCGCCCTGCTTGCCTATATGCCAGTGTTGCGTGTCGGCGGCCTCCCTTCAGCCTGCGTCTGGGCCCCAGTGCCTGAATCCAGGCCCGATGCAGTTGAGGCCCGGGGGATGCAGTTGCGCCTCTTTCGTCAAGGCCTGCGGCCAGATTCAGATAGTGGGCCGATTTCCCTTTGGCATTTTCGGCCTCTATACCCAGCATGCATTGTCGGCCTCACGTTCAAGTGCCCAGGGCCTAACTAACTCAGGGGCCCTGGGATTTCCACATTTGCAGAGATCTGGGACTCGGTGCACTCCAACTAACTGGCGTGCTGCAACTGTATGGACCCCACTTCGTGAAATGTTTGCACAGAGGGCTCTTGTTGATTTGCTGGCCCGCCTTCACTTAGGCGGGCACGAGGCTTGCTGGGGGCCTTAGCCCAGAATATGTACATCACGCCAAGGCCCCTTCTTGAGGGCTCAATCCTCACATTCCATCCCCCTTAGCTTCGAAAGTCCGCTGAGATGCTTACTTCGCAGGTGCCTTCCCTTTTAGCATCCTCTCATACTCTGCCACCACCTGAGGAGCTGTGTCAATCAGTTCCTCTCTGGTGAACCACCGGTCTTCTTTTGGATCCGTATGATGCCTGAATCTGACGCGATATTCTC